TCGGACCGAGACATATGAGAGCCTCGGCTTCGTCACCATGTGTGGGTCGCTTTCGTGGATGCATTTGGGAAGCTGTAGATGCACAGCGTCCGACGAGGATTAGAGAGAACTTTCTTCGTTACCTTGCTAGCAGGTCAGTATCCGCCAGAGGTCGCTAATCTCGTCCCATATGGACCGGATGGCTCCGAGTCGAAAAAGGCTGCTCGCAGATATGGGAGCTTCCGAAAACAAGGGGTACCTTATTTTGGGATCCTGATAATAAGGATCCTACTACTTAGGGTACTATATTAGGGTCCCCTATTTTCGGAAACCCCCATATGTTTTTTTGGGGGCGCTTTCAGGTTTCGAATTGCCGGGAGGCTTTGGAGGTCGGGAGCTGTGCTGTAAGCTGCGAAGCACCTCCATTGCTTTATCCATATTATCTATCATAATGATTATATATTGGTTAATAGATCTTGCAGACTCCCTTAATTAAGGAATATACCTTAAACCTTATTAGGGATCCTACTATAATTTAAGGTATATTCCTTAATTCAGGGGTCTTGGAGTCTCTGACTCCATGCTTCGCGCTCAGCGGCCGACACTCATCGGCTCCGACCTGCCAGGAGCGAACCCCCAGCCCTCAACCCGACGGCTTCCATTTTCCCGTCCCCAATACAGCCAAAAACTTTAATAGCTCTCCCCTTACAGTGGCAAAAAACCGCCCCAAACTGCAAACCTGCAAAGAGTGCCAATCAGCGAGCCCCCAGTGTTTAGACCTACGCACAAGAGCACGATAGCGAACAACAATTCTCCAAACCGGACATCCCCTAGAGCCCCTTAAGCTCAAAACCCTAGAGCCTTTTTGCCTAGAGCCCCGATGCTTTGTTGCCAATGGCCGGAGTTTTCGCAGCCCTCGGCCGCCTAGGCGACGGCAGCGGCAGCTTCTGGGATTTTTTGCGTCTCCGGTATTTTAGGGTCCAATCGGTTCATCTACCATCTAAGGTAGAACCCATGGGCCCCTAGTATGGGCCCTTAACCCTGTGACCCTAATATACCTACTATATACCCTATATATACCCTTAAGGGGCCCTAGAATCCCCTAAGGGCCCATGTTAGGGGCCCATGGGTTCAACCTTACATACCAGGGTGTCGATCATAGGTTGAATATCAATGACTCATACGGCAGAAGAGAATTTTTCCCATGTGCTTGTTTTGTCGTCGAGGGCAGTCCCTGCTCGGAACCACACCGCCGGAGTCCCAGAGTGCATGCTTTGGGGCTGCCATGGAAGTCCGAGTTTTTCGGCCCTTCGGCAGCCAACCCGGAAAAACCTCGACGCGCAGATCCCGTTCAGGCTACAGCAAGCACAGCGTCACCTCGCTTCGGACGAGGACCGTCCCAACAGGATCTGTTGCCGATACAAGCAGGGTCCGAAGCCCGAAGGTTTAAAGGTCTAGCATGGTATGCATGCTGTAGCAAGGCTTCATACCAGACCAGCTTCAACCCAGGCCTTAAGCCTCGACTTTCACGCCAGGGTGCCTTCGCATGGCGCGCCAGCGAAGACCTGAAGTTCCAGGCAAGTGCAGAGGCGCGCAGTGCAGAGCACACACTCAGAGTTCGGTCGGAGGTGCCAAACACAGGGGCTGAAGCCCATCTCAAGATGTTTCCAGCACGACGTGCGGATCTTCAAAAGGACTTGGGACCACTTGGGACCAGCTGGCAGGCCCTGGCCACGGCCGGAGTTGCGGCAGCTGCCGTCGGGCGTCTCGAGGAGGCTGCTCCCTAAAAGTTCGGGCTCTCCGGTGCATTGCCCCTTGTGAGTTTCGTGGGAGGTGAGAGGTTGAGGGAACCTAACAGCTTGGCAGGCAGTGGACATCCTGAGACGTGCTGCTCGGCTGCACTGTGTCCGCAAGAGACCACATCATCAAAACACGTTTCGCAGTGCTTTCTGGTATGTCGCAGGCAGCAGCGACGGATGGGCCTCGGCCAGAGGACACGAAGCTGCATCGCCAGCATAGCCAAGAGGAAGTCCAACTGGAACGAAAGGAACTCTCAGAAGATAATGGATGTCGATAGTCATTCGAAAAAAAGCAGACCCGATGCTACCCACATCACTCTTTTGTGAACGAACTGCGAAGCCTCGTCCGGCCTGACTGAAAGCGGCGAAGCCCGAATCAGAAGCCACCGAAAGCCCAAAGGAGAGGGCCGGCTGCGAGGCCCTCAAGGACCGTGCCCAGGCGGGACCTTGTTACGAACCCATGCAGCTTCTTCATCCTTGTCCTGGGCCCTACTCCCTCTACACAATCCTATCAGATGCACTGAATTAGAGTAGGGTTTTGGGGCCCATTATACTACAATTATAACAAGGAACCCCAAAATAGTATAGGTAATGATTGAGGCCCCTATATTAGTTGGCACTGTCAGCAGCCTGCTCGGTGGCGCGTGGCAGAGCCAAGGCGCTGCTGGCACAGAGCCGAGGCGAGCGTGGGCTGCTTTGCGGGCCGCTGCTCAGCTTAGGATGTAGCTGCAACTTTCAGGGCTACTGATGCTACTGTAAAGGGTACTTGAAGTTCAAGGGTTCTGGGGTTTTGGGGTTGTACTTGAAGTTCAAGGGTACTTGGGTTCTGGGGTTCAGGGCTTTAGGGATCAGGTTTTTGCTTTGCCGTGGGAGGTCTCATGGTTGGGCTCAGCTGTGGGTGCGCTGCTGTTCCTGGGTGGCGCAGCTGAAGGGTGGCCCTAAACTGTGAAGTCCCAAAACCCTCAAAGCACGGACACTACCAACTCCCAAGGAAAATGCAAATCCATGGAGTTTTGAAGCAAAAAAAAAGGAAAAAGCACACCATCCCTTCCGAATTGAGCCCAGGTTCTGGCGACCAGAGCCCCCGCCACCGCTCCCTTTGCCCTCGGCCTGGGAGTCCTGGGCCAGCGCCATGCCTCGAGCCGGAAACCTACTAACAGGGGCTTCAATTTGCAATTGGAATAAGGTGAAATATTATGCCATAGGTAGGGTTGTTTTTTGTTTTTTAAAACATAGTAATGACAAGAGGGTTTTAAACGCATCTTCAAGCTTTATGAGCGTTTTTTGTGTGTGGTTTAATCAGGCTCTGTTTTCGGAATTGAATATAGGGGCCGGAATGGCTCGAACAGGGTTTTGGGATGTATTGCGCCAGAGTGATCTAGGGACAAGAAGGGAATCGTTCATCGATCTGGGCTGCAGGATGTTCGGGCTGTGGGGGTTTCCGAAGGGATTGCCACTAACAAGGGTTCGTTAAAGAGTTGCGAACAACAAGGGTTGCACAATTTGTTATTCTCATACCCTTCAAAAATTTGTAATTAATCATTTGTAATGGACCTTGGCTGATACGGAGCCTGGGTGGTTTGCAGACGGCATTTTGCTGAAACTACTGTGCTCAGACTTGCCTTCGATGAAGCTGCTTCCTATCAATACGATGGGATTGCATGTGGGCATCACAGATGTGCCTGCCTTGAGTGAATTTGCTCCTCAGCTCCTTGGACCCTACTTCGCGACTCGCTCAGCCATGTAGGAGGCAAAAAATACCCTTCAATGCGGGCTCGTCCTTGCTAAGCAGGAAGGATCTTTGAATTTTAAAACCTTTAAACATTACCATACGGGCTAGCTTCAGGGTAAGTAAGCGGGTTTACAAGCCTTCGAGGCTTCTGGACCTTACAAGGTGTATAAGTATAAGTTTCATACCAGCAGTTTTTTGAGGAAGTGAGCTGGCGTTTCCGGAGTCTGTGTGGTCGTGTATGCAATGCCAGCCAGAAGCCATGTCTTTTGATTATGTTGCCGATTGTTTCCCAGCGATTTGTTTTGGTTTTGGACGGATGAAGTCACCAGCTCCGTTCGCCATATCCAGCTATAGTACCCCTTATAGCACCCCTCAGAGTACCCGATTGTTGTACCTCTTCAAGTGGCCCCCTATGGTAACACTGATAATGCTGAGATTCCCTGCCAAAGGCACATCGAGTCCCCAGAAACTTGTCGAACTTCACCGCCAGGTTGCCGAGTTTGCCGGCCCGGTGGAAGTGTGGGGCGCCCAGATTGGCCGTGAAGACGCGAACAGCCGGTCTCAGTGCGAGAGTAGCCGAGTAGCCTGTGACAAACAGGGTGAACAAAGAGGGACCCAAAACCGAAAGCAAGGCGAAATCATCAACTATTGGCATGCTATGATGAGTTTCGTGATATGGACCGTTCCCAACTGCAGTGAATTGTCAGATCTGGTTCAGTGTTTTGTTATTCACGCAAGCCGTTGTCACAAGCACGGACACCTCCTTGTCACAAGTACAGAAAGCCCGTTGTCACATGAGACACAACAGGTGTTGTCGATTGTCTGATGTCGCACCACTTGCCTGCATGATCGCACGGATGCTTCGGGTGCAGGCGAGTAGGTCAGGCACAGACCATGCAGTCGATCAACAGGGCTGATCTCCAAGTCTTCTGTCTGCCCCGGCAATGCAGGAGTGGCCTTTTGGTATTTGGCCGATGCAGTCTTGCGCTGTGTCCGAGTGTGGTCACAACCTTCCAGTGTAAAGAAGCTTGAATGACTGAAATGCAATGAAGCGAGAGTTGTGGTCGTCAGCTGCTCAAGACATAGAATCATTGGCGGCCCGATGCCAGAGATGATGCAACGTGGCCTTACCTTTAGCATCCCAATACCAGATTGCACACTGGCAGCCGAAGGACGTCAACATCCGTGGCACCGGTGCCAGATCAAGTAGTTGTACCCGTACTAGCAGTACTAGCATTATTTTTCACGATTACTAACGATTATTACTAGTTTCATCATCATGACTATGTTTTTCATGTGGCGCAGTTGTCGTTATCGAGCAGTAGGCCAGAGGAGTACTGAGTAGCAGTAGGTATTGGGATTTGTGCTGCCTTTCAGTATTAGCAGTTGAAGTGTGCCTAAGTATTCCTATTCGTCCGCTCTACGGATTGTTGTAGTTGCTGCTCTTTAGCAGCAGCGCCAACACTTCTCCCGATCTAGTCGCAGCGGCAATGGCTGCAGCTGCAAGCAGGGACGAGGGAGGCTTGGAGACTTTATTTTGTGAGTGATTGTGCGTGTTTTGCTTTCATAGTGTTGACCCTGTGGCCATTGTGTAAAATGCATGCACACGGACGTCTATGCGAGTCATGTTTTTGGCATGTTCAACCTTGACCCGTAATGTCAACTTGATTTTTTTAATGACAGTTTGTATTAGCACGGTGAACGCTATTGATCCGAGTTGCTAATGCTGTGCAAAGTGCTAGTCCCAACAAGGTCATATTACTCGCATGATGTTTGGTCGAAGACGAGTCAAGGCCTTTACTTACTACATTGCTACCGGTGCTGCTGTGAAAAAGAGCTTGGGTGAGCATAATTGTGACCAGTGACTCTAAATATAAGACGGGAGTCGTGGTGTCGTGATTGCTGCCGCTCTGCGGCCACTTTTGTGGAATATCATTCTCGAGTATGTTTTCCATGTAGATGTAGTATGAAACATGGTACGTCATCCTGTACTGTCGAGACTATTTGGATTCGCCAAACGTTGAACGCCACCCAGTACGCCCGAAGGATGGCGGCGGAAAAGGGTTTCTATCGTCATCGTAGGTTCGTCCTAGCCAGGTGGGAGGAAAAATTGTCACCGCATCCAAAGTGCTTGAAGCCCCTTGTCACTTCTACGAGTCGAAGCCTCCTCCGAAGCGCATGCGTGCATACTCTTTACATCAAGCCATGACTTCTCGTTGATGTCAGGTGCGATGCATCCCGGGAGTGTCAGTGGAGTCATGGTCCCAGTCATAGTCATCGCAACAGCTCCTTCTTGATAGCCGGCCTGAACCATGATTCTAGTGGAAGGGCCTTGGATGTAAGTCGCATGAACCAGCGTCATGGCAAAAAGCTATTGGCTCTTGCGATTGCTATCTGTGGCGAGATCTTGGATGGTTCTACAGGGCCGGGTGATGCAACATTACCTTTCGGCCAAGGTGCTACTCAGAGCTTTCGAAGACTGGACCAAGGCAGCTGCTGATGTCAGCACAGTTTCACGGGCATGCCACGTCTTCATAGGTTCATGTTATGTCGAGTCCGAAGCTCTGACCCCATTCTATTGCGGGCTGTGGCAAAATTCCGGGCAGGAGCACGGTGCTCTTCGTCCTGCTGACATCGGTCGGTTGACACTTGCTGTGCACTGGATCTGGTCTTGTGCTTTCTGTGCACCGCATGCATAGAGCTGTTTTCAGGAAAGCTTTTGCATGACTACCGGCCAGTGCCTGTGCTTTTGCTGCACGGCATGGCTTCAGAGGCAGAGCCCGCTGAAGTATTGATATCATAGCGTTTGCATGTTATGCTTGCGAAATCCACTGCACGTCCTGAGTGCTGCAGTGCTTTTTCCCTCGTAAAGGCGACCGACGATTACGTACATTCTGAGAGCAAACATGTAAAGCTGAGCTGCTGTTTGACACTTGACCTAGGACCTAGGAGCACACGGCATGCGATACTGCTGAGCACGGTCACAATGCACAGATGCGGATGTTGTCAGTGTAGTTCTCGGGATGCATGGAGCTTGAGCACTCGTTTTCGTAGATCCCCTTCCAGCTCATGCCTGTGTGAAACTCAGGATGCGCCAGCAAGGCTATGCCCCAACACAAGCCGAGCTGGCACGATACGCCAAGGCGCCTGGTGCACATAGGGGAGTGCTGTGGATATTCAGGGAAATTGAGCTGATGCCAAGCTTTGCTGATGCTATCTGCAAGAATTGTAGATCTGTGGTCATTCATAAATTTTAGTTTGCCTTCAAGCCAGCCTGCTGGACCCCACCAAAAACCCGCGTCCCAATCTCTCGCTGATTGTGTTTGAGAGCCATGAGTAGATTTGAAGCCGCACGCCGCCCCAAAAGGCCGCAGAGATGGGCGCTAGCGCCACCGACTTTGCCGCCTGGTGCCGGGAGACGGGGTACAAGGCCGCCTCAGGGCATCGTGATCTGAGGATCTCTGGTTTGCTCAGGTTTGCTTCCTTAGCAGGTACAAACATGATGACAACGATTATTGCCGTTAGACCATCTTGCCATTGTCATGACTGCACTGCGTTTTGCCAGACGGCAACCGCTGATCTCTTTGCCTGTCGGGGTTGTGACAACAGGCATGCCGTCCCTATGCAAATCCTCGGCACAGAAGGATGCACAAATAATTCTCATCCGGAGTTCTCCGACAGCTTGTGCCGGTCGATGTGCAAACCCAGCTGACACAACGCATCGCAGTCTGGACCAACTCCACTGAAGAAGCCATAACTCAACTCTCCTCGCACCGCAGGACCGGTTGTGGGTACGGTTGTGGGTGACTCCTTGTCACATCCTACGGTTGAAGACAGGAAGCCACCGAAAGCCTATCGTGTGTCCGAACAGACTGATACCTTCTCTGGCCGCAGGATCCTAGCTTCGAAGAGCTGATCTCCTTCTTCGCCCCGTTCGACCCGGAGCCTTTGCAGACGAGCTGTAGGCTTGCGAGTGTCGGCGCGTGAGGAGTTCATCTAGGGCTTCACATCCGCAGTTGGGACATGGAGCAGAGGGCACAGGATGTCTGAGATTTCTATATTGCTCGATTTTGACGGAGCTGGAGGTTCCTCTCTTTCGGTGGGGCTGTCCCTTTCTGAGCTTCTCCCCAGCTTCTCCAGTTGCGTCACCTGCAAAGGAGGGCAGTGGCTTCGTGCCCTCCCGCGTGTTCCGGCAGCTGCTGAGTGTTGGCGAGGCCTGGTCTGCCCCTGCCCAGTAGCGCCAATTCTGTAGTTCATTTCTCCAAGCCGGAACTCGAAATCGTAGGATGCAGGGTACTTGACAAAGACTGTCGTGGCTGGTGCTGCCGAGTTGGCAGTCTCCATCTAGTGGTCACCGCTCAACCGTGAAATGAAACATTGAAGCAGGAAGCCAGACGCACCTCTAAGGCTCAAATCCTAGCAACCTGTGTCAAGCCTCAAACCCTGAGGCATTCGATGGTAAGGAGCTAGACGCCGCGTGGGCCCGCTGCAGATTGGAAGAGTGTCATGGGTTTGGAATGAAGAGTGCTCTGTGTGTGCCGCTCCGGTGTTTTCGGTTCTGCTGGCAGCAGTTCAAGACCGGAGCGTTGATGGTCTTTTTCGTGTGTGCATTGTGTGGCCTTGCATAGCAGTGTAGCTCATTTTTGGGTGCTTTCTGTCGTGTAGTATAGTAAAAGCCTCAACCTTTGGCGCCCTTTGTCGTCTCAGCACCTCAGGCTTGGGGAGATCCGAGCGAAGGCAGGTGCAAGCGGCGAGGTCCGGCTGCATGGGTCAGGGTCATAAGAGTGCCATCATTGCTTTCAAGTGCAAGGGCAGGGATGGTCATGAGATGTGTTTGTCCAGGAATTTGCCCCAACAACGAAACAGGGTCAGGTGCTTTGGCTTGTAGTTGCTACTAACTTTGCTAGGTGCCCGAAGCACCGCCCGAGCAATCGGTTCAAGCTTCGCGAGGACCTGGTGAACTACCGGGACTTCGTGACTTTGGCCTTGGAAAGATGACCGGACCAAGACCAGCTGGGCCTGAAGTGATAATATAGTTTAATATAGTACCATATAGAACAATATAGTATATTATATCATAATGTAATATGATATCCTAAAACCATAATATAATATAATATAATATAATATAATGTTGCAGGATTGCTTTGGCCCCAAGGGCTCAAAGCTCTGATAGGGCGGCGAGGCCCTTGTCTCGGCCGTCCAGAGTGTCACATCCTCGCCGGAGAAAACGGAGCGTGCTTTTCGCCACGAGCCAGATGCATGCATCATCTTCCTGATGCGACCTTCCGGCGTTTGCCCACAAGCGCCCCCCGAAATAAAATGGAAATACTTGGAAACTAGGACAGCGTGCAAGCCTTGAATGCTTCATATTCCGGTGCCCACCTGAGGCGTTGGATGGACGACGGGGCAAGTGGCGAGCGAGGGTCGGCTCCCGAGCAGCTACAGAGCACAGCAAGAGCGGCGTAGGGTGAAGCATAGAGGGCTGCACTACATACAACTTGCTAAATGGATACGTGGTGCATCGCATAACGGCGTGTCAGAAAGTGAATTCGACCTGAAGTCCTTGATCGGTTCAGGCTCTACACTTCCAGGCCGGTGTCGGCCTGCTCCTGAGAAAAAATCATTCGTGCTCTGTTCCCAGATGCTAATTAAAAGAGCCCGGATGGTCTAGGTCTGAGATGTTTTGCTTCAGGCTCCTGTGGACAACCGGGGTAGCCCGAACCAAAGGACCAAAAGGAGCAAGACGTAGCATCCTGTATACAATGACGTGCCTCCGAAGGCATCAAACCACGATTGGTCTGGCTTTCCACGTGGTACTTATGTAGCGAAACCCACTGCTGCAGATTGCTTGGTTCCCCTATGCACTTTTGTTGCACCGGGCTGCTTGAATTTGTGCTTAAGTTCGTCAAGAAGAGGATGGAGCTCTGGAGTTCCATCCATGCATGCGTGTATGCAGTGCACTTTGGAGCCTCTTCTCAGAAGCCGACAGTTTCATGGCTGGTCATCACAGCGTTCGCTTCATCGCGTACCGATCTTTCGCCTTTCAACTACTGCTTCCAGATCCAGCTGTTTCTTATCTGTTGGCCTGCGCAGTGCTTGAAAAAAGAAGTGGCCGTCGACGCCGTAATCTTGTATACTAAAGCAGATCATAGCAACATGTCCTGACCCTCGGGCACAAGTGGAAAAGCATTGTAGCGCCCTGTCAGAATCAGGCTGGCGAGGTTCTGCTCGTGGCACTTCCAATCGCGGAGGTGAGATTCATGCTCCGAGGTTTAGGGCTCCAGAAGCGCACAAGGAGGGTCATACTTGTGCTACGTACATACCTGCACTGCATAGGACTCCCGAAAGATTGTCCAGGTGACGGCCAAGAGATGCGTGGGATGTATGTAGTCCTGTAGCTGCAGCGGGGATGTCGTGTGGAGGCTCCGCAGAACGGGCCGGCATTGGTAGCAGCTCTGCAGCAGCGCTGTGCGCGGCCAAGCCGTGCTTTACAGGATACGCCGCCACTGGCGTGACTGCAACGACGACGGTAGACTGCGTGCTCGTGGCATCCTCGCGATCGAGGCCGGGTTTCTGGACGCGCCAGACGTCGGCTCCGCTGCTTGGCGGACGGCGGGGGTGCAGGCGCCGGACGGATGAGGGGTTTGGACTGGGTCTTTTGCAGCTGCAAATCCCAGGGCCAGGGACAGTCTTGGAGTTTGGGTCACTGTCCCACCGCTCCACAGGTCGTGCGCTGTCACCAGAAAAGCTGGCTCAGGCTGCAAGGGCTTTATGTGGCAGACAGCCAGTCATTGTCAGACCTCATCTGGCCAATCCTTGGCCACTCCTCCTCCCTGAAGTTTGCGATGAGTGTCTGCCGACTGGCTAAGCTTCATGCTTCTTTCAAAGGGCTTGGAGTGTGCCTGCCGGTCCACCTGCCCCTGCAACATCAGCAACGCCTGCGAGGCATTGTACCCGATTCCCGATGAAGTGCCAGAGCCACTGCCAGAGGGACAGGCGCGCTTGTCCAGTTCGTGCGCAGACCCAGCGTGAGAGTGTCCGCTAAACATGAGCCCTACAAGTGTACGTTGTCGTCTCGCTATGTCTCGCTGGCCTTGCCTGACAGCTTGTATTTGGTGCCAAGTACAATGTTTGTGACTCGTTGAACCAGTATCGCTACAGACCTTGCCAGGATTGTCCGAGTGTGCGTGTCAAACCCATAAGCCTAGACCCTATTCGCCGGGCCTGTCCAAGCTGTGAGAGCGTAAACCCTATAAGCCCTAAGCCTAGTCGAAGCCCTGCTTGCGAGGCTCCAGAGGGTGACCTTCAGCTGCAGGAGATCTTGAACCACAATGTGCTGGAACCCAGCTGGCGGTACACGGTTTGGATGCAGGAGTACTGTAGGACCAAAGCTACGAACATCAGGGAGAGGTTAGGTCCGGAAGTGTCGTAACGTAGAAGTTTCTGAGCGCAGCTTTGCGCTTATTTCCATCCGGCGCAGGCAGCTTCATGAAGTCTGTGCCTGTGCCTTGTAACCACAACCCCGTGAGTTGACGTGGAAGTCAGAGGCGTCAAGGTGCAGGTTGCCTTGCTGAGGTCTTCGTGCTGGAGGGAGGCCCGGGTTCTGAGGTGTAGTGCGGTTATACTGAGATTTTATTGTCGTATAGTCATGCGATGTGCTACTCCTACAGTGTCAGTGTCAAGAGGTATGCTGTCATGAGAACTATATCATCGTATCATGCATCTGTCCGCGCTGGCCTGCCACGGCTTGGATTTCGGAATCTGGTGGAGAGTCTGACTGCGGAGCTTTTTTTATGAGGAGCCTTGCAACAAGACTGCTGCATTTTTTGGGGGTTGTAAAAAGGACCCAATCAAGGGAACTGCTCACATGGCTGTCGGCGCCCAGCATCGCTGCAGGCTCAGCTGCCCTCTATGGATTACCTTCGATCTTCAATCACTGCCTGGACCCAATAGTCGTGAGCTGTTTACTGTTAGAGTCTGCACATCCAGAGTTAGGTTGACCTTTTGAAATGACCGATGTACTATTTCTATGTTGGGTTTCGTAGGGTTTTTGCAGCGAAATGGTATGCCGCGAATTCCCGCGCACGCTGCTCCCAAGAAGCTGGACATACTCCGATGGAATCTTGAGCCCACGAAGCACGTGGCCGTCAGCTTCGCTTTTTCGAGTCTTCGATGTGAGGCTGTGACGGGCGGGGAGGTTCGACCATGAAGCTCATCCTCACCTTTTTAGACAAGGCGCCGGGGATCCGTCGAAAGGGAGATTTCCTCCAGAAGGTTAGTTACTGGAGCTTTTGTCCGGTGCCGTGGCTGGGTTTGTTCTAAAAGCCTTACACAATATACCGTATTATACCAAACTATACCACATTATACCATACTATACCGACTATACCATACTATACCATACTATACTATTACATGCTATACTGTACTGTTTCAATCCCGAAGCTCTTCGGGCTGACCTCTCTTTCGAGGCTTCAGAGCGTGGGTCACCTGCTTCCGTGTTCATCCTTGATGAAGCTTATAACCCCCTTTGCAACTTTTGGGCTCATTAACACATTCACGCCCGGCTTTTAGCATCTCAATGGGGGAGGTAGCAAAAAGCCCAGCGCCCCAACTGACAGAGGCCATGATCTTCACGGCTACGCGAGACATGGACGCCGGCGAGGAGTTATGCAGCGTTCTCACGATGTCCCACAGCAAAGCACTTCTGCAAGGAAGCAGGCTTTTGGTTTGAGCGTTGAAGGACCACCATAGCAGATGGGGTAGAAAAAACATGCCGACAGAATGGGCGATTGCAACTTCGCTTGTCTCATGAGGCTGCAAGCTCTGGATTCGCTACCGTGCAGTACTGTACCGTACCATGTCACTATACCACGTTCTACTATATTGTACTATACTATACAATACTATACTAAACCAAGCTTTATACTAGATTATACCAGGCTTTATATTATGCTATACGATGTATTATACTGTACACGGTACTGAATATTGTGCTATAAACTATACTATATACTTTGTACTATATACTATATACTATACAGTATATAATATATACTATATAGCACATACCATATACTATATACTATATACTATATATTAGACTAATTATATACTATGTACTATACTATGCCATGCTATACTATGATATGTCTTACCATGCTTGATAATACTGTAGTGTACCAGACTATATCTTATGATTTTATAATATTTTCTACCATATCATACTATATACTATACTATACTATGCTATACTACACCATACCATACCATACTACACCATACCATGCTATACTATACTTTTCTATGCTGCTACATACCATACTATAATATACTTTTCTATACCATACCATACTATACTATACCACAAAGGTAGGAGCCATACCAATCGAAACTAAGGTCATCGCTACTTCGACGTGGAAGGGGACCTGGCAGAACGTCATGGTGTGGCTCCTGGTGGAATTTCCGCGCTTTTTGCTGCTAAGGGTTTAAGAGCTTAGGATTTAGTTTAGGGTTCCGTAGGCGCTGGCCGGCACCTCAGTCCGCGCTGAAAACAGGGTTCAGGGTTTAGGGTATAAGGAAGCGCAGTCGTGAGAGCTGAACTTCTGTGGGCTCGGACATTCAGGCGATTGCACAAGTCCTGATGCAAAAAGGTGAGGGTTGCATGGGCGCTGGCCGGCACCTTAGTCCGTGCTGAAAAAGGGTTATTATACCCAATATGATTGCTAACAGAACTGTAGGAATACAGGCAGCAGTTATTAGAACTACAATGATCGCTATTATAACTATGCGAATACATAGCTATTCCTACGATAGAATAGTTAGTTGTTGCTATACCTACAATGATACTTACCCTAGCTATAGTAATAACAACAGTTCTTATTATACGTGCAGTTATATAGGTTAAAGACCGGCAGCAGAGCGGCTAGGCGGCGGCTCAGGGCGTTCTCGGCATCTGTAGCTCTTTCCAGTCACCGATGTGTCAGGCTGCAACC